TCATCTATCGCGAAAAAAGTATTTTTGGCATTTTCTGATAACTCAAAACATATGGCACACATACTTTTTATCTCCTTTGCTGATCCTGTACGGAGGGAAGATCATTACTTTTTCAACGATTGCTGCTTTATAAATTAATCAATTAGGTGATAACAAAATTGTTACACAGATCACCATTTCATTACTTCCTATAGAATAATAAAGAACCCGCAAAAAAAGTTTAGGGTTTTTTTAGGCTATTAATCTTTTTTATACCACATATTTACTGACATTACTGACTTTTAAAAAATTTGAAAGTGTCAAATTATATATATTTCTTCCCTCTTCCATTTCCCTCGCATATTTTCCTCTCTCGGTTTATTAAATTGTTAATTAAATACTTATCTAACATCAACAAAAATAAACAAGAAGATTAACAATAATAATTGAAGATTTTAATACATTTATTTGTTGAAATTAATAGTCAAATTTGACTTATTGTACGCGTTAATCGATATTATTAAGGGGTCGCCCTGATGATGTGTTTCACTCATTGAGGTTTCACTGCTGCAAAAAACTTAACTCCTGACTTGTGCCAGGTCTTCTAATGTCAACGAAAGAAGGTAAAGAGTTTGAATTGCTACAGGAAGACGATGGCAACAATGTCGTTGAAGATATCACATTTGCGGTTTTAGTTTGGTTGGCTACAGATGCATCCACATAACCCTCAGCCACAGCACTGGATTTCCATCCCCCTAGACGCCTCAGCTGTAAAATATCAGCTCCGCTATTTACCAGCAACGTAGCCGCTGTTCGTCTAAAAGCAAAACCTGTGTAGGTTTTCGCATTGGGAAGTTTCAAAAAACTTGTACGGAAATTTAGAAATAGAATTGTATCCAAAGGGTTGATTTCGAGCTTTTTCTAATCGATATTGAACAAAAATCTCTCATTTTCAATATATTTTTGTAACTATATAAATCCTTTCACAATTTCTATCCAACTTGTGTTAGTTATCATAAATGATCTGCTCTTATACGTTTTTGTATCGGGAATTTCTATGCAAATTTTGTTCTCTAAAATATCAATATGCGTAGTTTTCATCTTCAGTAGCTCATCACTTCGACATGTCCCAGACACACCTACTATAAGCGCAACCTAAAACAATGAAAAGAGAAATATTTAAAAATAGAAAAAGAAAACATTTAAAAAAAAGCCTTACTAGGAATTCTTGAGGTGCTTTCGTGAGAAAATCCTCTAAGTTTTGCCTGGTAAAAATGCTAGACTTCTTTGGCTTAAAACCTACATTCTGGCGTTTTAAAAAAGCGAGGAGTTTGTTATATTTTGATATGTCAGTCTTTTCCCTTAATTCATTGTCCATATCATGCTGTGTGTAGCCCAAAGAGTAGATGGCTTTTTCTGCCTTGCCATGTCGCTAAAATATGCCATCAAGACTGTCTCCGAAGCAATATTCTTAGCATTTCTTTCGGCACACCATTTCTTTCGGCACACCATTTTCTCTGGAAGTAAACTGTTCTGGTGGAGTACCAATATTAAAGTAGTCTTCATTATCAGAACTTTCCGGCAAAATTCTGGCTTTCTATGTTATATAAATTGGAAAAAGCGAACGAGAAATTCAAAACTGTCACTTAGTTGCATGTTTTGCTGTTGAAGGTTTGCGCCATAACAACCACTGGTACCGGTAACTATAGATATTGAAATGCCAAAACAGAAGGACAAATTTTCGCATTTTTTTTTCAAAATAAAATACTGTCCCAATTTTTTAAGTAATGATGTGGTTGTAAATAAAATAGTATACAAACTTCGGAGGAAAGTTTTCGTTATTGTCTTGAGATTTAGTTAATCTCTCGACAGTAATGAAACACTTCCCTCACACACCCTCCTCGGTATGTAATATACTATTATATTGCCATATTTAAATTATGTGTGATACTTTGATGAGTATAATTCGTTTCTTGCTAAATTATAAAGAAAGTCGATATTTTTGTCACGGCCTTGAGGTGTACGATCGCCGTTGACCCCTTAATTGGGTGATTGTCTGTTTGCCATGTTTAGATCTAACGATTTTAAGAATGTACTATTATTGACCTACTTTGAATTAATTTACCAGTAATTCGAGAACAATATTATATTAAAATACACATAAAAAGTCAATCAGAAGCATCTCACTGTACAGGGTGGGTCAAATTCGACGCTTTTAAATGGAAACACCCTTTTCTATAGGAGATAGACAAAAACTAATATCGGTGTCTGGAGCTCAATTTTTGTCAAAAACATGATGGTGAAAACCGCATATCTATATCTGTTACCGTTTCGGAGTTACGGAGTGTTTTAAAAAATATGCATTTTTAACAAATCGCTGTAACTTTTTTGCTATGAAAAATTTTGTATTTTTATGAAAACATTTCCAAAGCACCTTTTTACGTAGAATTTAATGGTTTAAGTATAATTTTTTTAAAATTAATAATTTAAGAATTATCAACAGAAAATTTGATTTTTTATATGGGACACCCTGTATATCAAAATAAAGGGTAGTTTGTTTCATAAACGTTGGGTCAAAGTCAACCATTAGGGAGATATCGCGGTACAAAGATGGCGGAAAAATAATGTTCTTATTTTTTATCTTGAAAACGAAAAGAGATAGACTAATGAAATTTTATGGAAGCATTACTGTTATGAAAACACACTTTCTGGTAATTTGTTCACCTTTTTAAAATGAATGGAAGGGGTTGAAATAAACTACCCCTATCATTCTTGTTAACGAAATTTAAAGAAAAATCTTATCAAACACATGCATAAAAATTAATTTGGATAGTTTAGTTTGTTTAGAAACTTTTTTATCTCTTGTATTTTTTTTATAAAACTCACCGATTTGAAATTAAAAAATAAAATGTAAAGCATTACATGTCAGGACTAAACATATTTTTAGATAAGAATCTAGTGATAATAATGATAATAATAATAATCTAGATAATAACGTATTGCAGTAGGGTCAAATAAAACAATATTAGAAACATCCTAAAAAGTGACAGCGGCCGACTAGATTTTTTCCTAAAAAAATTACAGCTGCCCACTAGATTCTTTATCTAAAATGTTTTTTGTCCTGACATGTAATGCTTTACATTTTATTTTTTAATTTCAAATCGGTGAGTTTTATCAAAAAAACACAAGAGATAAAAAAGTTTCTAAATAAACTAAACTATCCAAATTAATTTTTTTGCATGTGTTTGATAAGATTTTTCTTTAAATTTCGTTAACAAGAATGATAGGGGTAGTTTATTTCAACCCCTTCCACTCATTTTAAAAAAGTGAAGAAATTACCAGAAAGTGTGTTTTCATAACAGTAATGCTTCCGTAAAATTTCATTAGTCTATCTCTTTTCGTTTTCAAGATAAAAAATAAAAACATTATTTTTCCGCCATCTTTGTACCGCGATATCTCCCTAATGGTTGACTTTTGACCCAACGTTTATAAAGCAAACTACCCCTTTATTTTGAACAAGGAATCACCCCCATTGTTTTTCGCATTTGTTTTGAAACACCCTGTATAATGGGAGCATAGTTCTTCCGGTTCAAGCATTGTTTTTCTAAACAGAACGTCGCTTTCAGAGCTTTGCAGTGAAAGTAAATAAAATGTATTACATGCTGAGCTGTTTCAGGATATTTATCGCATAGTCTGCAGCAAATGCTTGATACAAGCTGAACTTGTTCAGACAGCAATATGTCCTGTCAAGAAACTTGCTGTAATGAGCACTTTATTCCTGCTGAGCATTAGCGGGTCCCAGGGTTGCCACCTTTTGTATTTAAAAAGTCGGGACAGCACTAGTGCAACCTTTTTCTTAAATGTAAAATTTTATGTGGCCATCGGATTTTGAAACAATATTTTATGCCTTTTTGCGTTAATTTAAAAAAACTATTTGAAATTTATAAAAAAAATGTGTATAAAAATAAAAAATTAAAAGTTGAAAACAAAATAAGAAAATAATCAATTAAATCTATAACAACTAGAACAAAACCTAAACAAAGTCAAAAGTTTCAGCTGTAGAATCTGTATAATTGGCTTTATTAGTTTATTTAATTATTTCTTAAATGAACATTTTTGGCAAAATAAAACCACTAATTCCCCACAATACACAAAACACTTTAAAATATAACATACTTAGTATACACAAGCATAAAAAGGCCTTAACCCATATAAGTGCGCTAATTTCCATTATACATTTTACTTTTTAGCACTGGACGTGGGTTTCGTTAACCAACTTAGCATCATCAGCAGATAATGAAAACTGATTGTTAGCGAAACGAGCGGCCAGTAGTAAAAAGCAAAGTGTTTTTGTGTATTGCAGTTAATTAGTGTTTTATTTTGCTGTTGTAACACCAAAGGTTCCAACCCCCAACTGTAATGAATATTTTTTATTTGTTTTGTTGCTTTAATAATAAGAGTTCCGTAATTTTTAATAAAATCCACAAATTCTTATACGCTATATATTACAATTAAATGAGATTTGAAGTTCCGCTCTAATGAGCTTAAGTGAACATCTATTTCTAGCGTCTGTCTACTTCAACATACGTGAAAATATATAAATAACAACCTCAAACAATGAAGGCATATAATTTACTCTAGTTTTAAAAATACTTTATTTTGTTATCCTTTTGGCAAATTTTATTTACGCAAGTTTTTATTGCCGAATATTCATTAAACATAGTATTAATATCTACTTCTTATAATTCTAAAATTTCTAAGATTTTAATTAATTCGTGAAAAGAACTATTTTTAAATTCAAGAAATTAATAAACATGTATTTTTAATACTAAATTTTACAATTTTATTGTTTAATAAAAATGTGGCTATTAAACAAATAAAAATTGGGACCTTAGGGCTTGGCGTGGGGACGCGGGACTTTTGGATAAAAATCGGGACTGTTCCGACATCCTGATTCCGGTTCCTGTTGGTTTCATAATTAATAATTAATAAGTCCTTGGATTAAAGCTTTGCTATGTGTGTCAGATTCTCTAGTGGATGGTTTTATACTGATCCAGAGTTATACTGCACTACGTCACAACTACGTATCATAAATTTGGGTATTCCCAGTGTTGGCTTTGGATAAAGATACGATTCCGATGATCCTGAACTTTTCTAGTTCATCGGCATTTTCGTTGTCTCGGATGCTGCTATGGCCCTGCATTAGATGATTCGGATTTAATTGTTGTACAAAAACTTACCGCATCAATAAAGACCAATAAAAAGATTGGCTGTTTTCGTGATGGCCATATTTTCTTACATGCTACTGAGTAATCAGCATTATCAGCAATTTATCTGTTCTCATGTTCATGAAATATGATCTTACCTGAAAAAAAAAAAAAAATTAAAAAAGAAATTGGTGTCTGAATTTTTTTAAGAAAAAAACTATGATTTTTGAATAACTGATAAATGGTAAATTGATACATGTTTTATGCAAACTAAAGTTACTTAAAGGAGCAAAAACGTAAAAACATTTTTTTTTGCAGAACTAATAAGTTTAAATTTACCCTACTTCGTAATCATTTCATATTTCGAATTTGCTTTTTAGTTTTGTATCTATTTTATTGGTGTCCTTTAATTTTTATATTTTATTATTTAAAGAAGAGAATAACGTCATAGATTGGGGATTTTTTTAGTTAATAATTCATCAAATAATGAGTTAATATCTATATTATATAAAATATCAGTGATAAGATAAAGGTATTGACAAATTAATGCAAATTCATACCACAGGATAATTATCTGGGTTCATACTTAACTGCAAACGCTGCATTTACTTAATAATTTATGGGAATCTTTATAATATATGGGACGATTTTGACACGATAAAAATAACTGTCACTGTTATACAGGGTGTCTCAGGCTGAGCGCGCATTAGAAGTTTCTAGAGAACTAAATTCAATTTTGCTGCGATTGAGATTTAGTAAACTGTGATTTCTATCTGAGAGTTTGAATTTTTAGGAGTTGCGATTTGCGATATTGTTGCGAATGGAATTTGTGGTCTCTTGATATTGAAGCATTTTTATAGTAAATTGCGATTGAATTTTCTCTCTTATATTATTTATTTATAGAGAAGATATTATTTTTCTAGGGCCACAATCATAATATACCGGGTGTTTCTCAAGAGTGGTTTACCCCTATAACTTTTTTATTTTTTTTCTGATAAAAAAAACGAGATTTGGTATGTTAATATATGACATAAATTAGGATTGATTGACGTATTCAATTGTTTCTCGTCACCGTTCTGTTTCACCGGAAATGACTACAACTTTTGATTTTTAAATGACACCCTCGGTATTTTTTTACTTTATTCGACTCTGAATAAGGCAACTTTTGACATTTTCGCTTTAAAAATCGTATTTTAAACTACAATCTAGAATATCATGGCTGTGTTAAAATTAAAAACACTAATTTTAATCAAGATGCCTTGGAAAAATAGATTTGATCGTCTATAGTTTTTCGCGTTTTGTCCTCGCCAGTTAAAAGATGCCCAAATCGTATTTTTAATCATATCTCAGTTTTTTTCAAATGGAATGAGGGTGGCTCATTGGCATATTTAAAAATCGCAATCGCAGTTTCAATTGCGGAGAATCGCAGTTTGCTCATCTCTACTTGAGACGAGCAGCTAAAAGGAACGCCATTAAAACCAAAAATATAATAAACCTATAATTTTCAAACTTTCGGTCTTTTAATTCAATAATGGACTAGGGAAATGTTTTTGCCCAGTAGATACAAAACATTATAACAACGCAAGTTAAACGTATTGTTCCCACGATTTGTTCTCAGCAAGCATAAAATATAATTTTCATTAACGGTAAACTAATGCTCGGTCTCGCACTCGCGCGGTATAATTAAAAATCGCCTGAGCCTATTATTTAAGACCTAATAAACTAGTTAGCAATAACAATAATTTGTTGTTAAAGCACTGCCGTTGTCGATTATTACGTTATTTCGATTAAACCTACTTTTATATTATTTAAGTAGTACTCGCGCGTTATATAATTTTTACGTTTCCAGTTACGATTTCGATGGAAAAATAACGTTTTTCGTATTTTGTTGTTCGTTGCTTGCAACTATCAAGGTTAGGTTTAAGTCCACGCTGTCCACACACTGGATCAAAACATAGCCCTTTAAGCGAGGGGTGTCTCACTTCGGTCAAAAATATACAGGGTGTCCCATTTTGGTTGAAATCATACGGTATCTCCGTTATTAGTGAAGATAGAAGGGTGCGGTTTGCACAAACCTGTCTCACTTTTTTGTCAAACGGAAGATGCCGTAAACAAAATTTTCATAGCCCTTTTCGTTTCCGAGCTACCGGGTCTTTTTGAAAGTTTTGCAATTTGGGTCACCTCCTGTATCTCTATTATTGTTAAAGCTATCGAGAAGGTGAAAACTGTTTATTGTAGAACTTTTTACGTAGAATACAGTGGCGTAGTCTGTTTTTCTACAAAAAAAATATTTTTGAAAATATGAACTAAAGTTATGTTTTTTTAAATGGATCACCCTGTATATTTATAAATCATATGATCTGTCTTGGCATAAGCTTCTCAAAAATACATATCACTCTATATTTATTTTCACTATTTACTGCAATATTTAAAAGTTTTTATTAAAAGATCATATTTATTAGTAGGCCATGATTGATAATAAAAGAATCTAAAGAATTATTAAAAGTATACTGCTATCTGTCTTTTGTTTTATTTTGGGAGCCGCTAATAAATTCTTTATATATTAGGGAAACTTAAGTCTCTACCGCTATTTGTAAATCTTGGAATACGTGTATACGTAAGACTAATCTATCGTATCGGAAATTTTAGATATTCCTTTAGCTAATTTACGTCAAATATACTTTCAGCAAGATGGGGAACATTCCCCCACATAACTATGGAAATATTAGAATACTGTTAAATTATTATTTTTCAAATCAATGAATTGGAACCAATGAACACATATTGATAGCCTCCTCGATTCCCGGATTTCGTCGTTCTCGATTTCTGATTTTGAGGATTTTCGAAATACGAAATATATCGTGGGCACTACAACAATTTCGAACACCTGAAAAATGCTTTAATAATTCAAGATTTAGATATTTGCAAACCCATCCCGTTATAAAAAAAGAAAAATATATTCACAGTTTCAGTGGTAACAGTTATTTCGAAAGTAAAATATATCAATCCCAGATAAATTTTAATATGTGTATGACTATTTTAGTAAATACCATTTTGATTTTTTGTTATTTATCACGGCCTACTAATAAGAAAATGATATATTTTAAATATTGCAGTAAATAGTAAAAATAAATATAGAGTGATATATATTTTTGAGAAGCTCATAGCAAAACAGATCATATGATTTATAAATATATAGGGTGTTCCGTTTGAAAAAACATAACTTTAGTTCATATTTTCAAAAATATTTTTTTGGTAGAAAAACAGACTACGCCACTGTATTCTACGTAAAAAGTTCTACAATAAGCAGTTTTCGCCTTCTCGAAACCTTTAACAATAACAGAGATACAAGGGGTGTCCCAAATTGCAAAATTTTCGAAAAGACCCTGTAGCTCAGAAATGAAGAGGGCTATGAAAATTTTGTTTGCAGCATCTTCCGTTTGACGAAAAGTGGGACAGGTTTGTGCAAACCGCCCCTTCTATCTTCACTAATAACGGAGATACCCTATGATTTCAACCAAAATGGGACACACTGTACAAGTACTGCCAAAATATCATTTTACTGCCAAGCGACTGCAAAGGACTACGAAGAAGACTATGACTGCCATGTAATTATTATAGGCGACTGCCGTAAGACTGCCAATGACTGCCAGCGACTGCCAATGACTGCCAAGGAAAATGTACATGTAATTCCAATAGTGAGACACCCCTCGTCTTTAAGCTTCATTGGGAACCTCAAAATTAGTGGAAAAATTAGTGGTTTCAATTATACTTTATACTTTTTAGTTTACGATCATTCACAATGTCTAAAAATACAGTTAAATTTAATGGAATATCCTAGCAACAGCTGGTGGTAGTCAGTTGTATCTATAGGGAAAGCCTAATAATTAGCTTATAAAACAATAAACTTTTTAATTCAACCACAATCCACAATCTCCCTTTGACCGATGACAATCAAAAGCTAAAAAACGACATTAATAGCAAATTTTAGTATAATTAGTGGAAGAACTTAAAAGTTTGTTGACTTTTTCTACTAATTGAAGATTACTACCATTAATTTTGACGTTCTGAATGCTCACGTTGAAATTAGAGGGACAAACTTTTACGCTAATTGAAATCACTAATTTATTCCACTAATTTCGAGGTTAATGAATGAATGTTTAAGCCTCATTCAGAACCTCAAAGTTAGTGAAATAAATTTGTCGTCTCAAAAATACAATTAAAATTAATAGAATATCCTAGCAACAGTTTGCGATAGTCAGTTCTATCTATATAATAATTAGCTTATAGAACAATACACTTTTCACTTCTAACCACAATTTCTCTTGACGGATGATATTCAATGGCCAAAATGACGTTACTCGCAAATTTTGACCACTAATTTTGGCGTTATGAATGCATATATTAAAATTAGACGAACAAACATCTACGCTTATTGAAACTACTAATTTCGAGGTTCTGAATGAAGCTTCGTCTTGAATTTTTAAGAGTACGTTTATATCGTATCTTTTGTGTATATTTCTGCCAGATGATGTAGTAGAAATGACGATATTTAATATAACAATTGAAGATTATTCTTGGATATTCTTGTCCACCCAGTCTTAGATAGGTATACTACATTGTTAAAAGGTATCTTAGGGATATGTTGAAGTAAGTAAAAACCTTAGATTAAGAAGTAAAACATACATACTTTGAATTACAGTGAATTAACTCACACAAGTCACTTCTAAACATGTAAATACCGATCCAAGACTTCTCTTGCCAATATGGTATGTATATCTGTGATTTTATTTTTACTTAGTTTCTTCATTTCCAAGAATTGATACAGTCTCTAGGATATTAGATATGTGATAGATATCTGTTGTATGCTATAATTAAAATTATTATTGATGATTTGTTTACAAATTTACCCTTTATTATATTAATTATTTATTATTTTAATGATAAGAAAATTTGTTTTAGATGTTAGCTTCATCATTTATCAACAGCACAGGGCAATAATTATTAACTATATCAGTTATATAAACATTAATTTGATTTGACCTAACTTACACAAACACTTACACAAATCCTTTGTTTACTTATAGTCTGATTAGATAAATGGAAGTTAAATGACATTATGTCATAACACATAAAATCTACAGAAAAATAAACAGAACCAGTATATAATCAAATAATGTATCTTACTTACAAATGTATCTTATTTGTTTATGAATGTAGAATGTTTAAGAGGGATCTATTGTGGGTGTGTTCCCCTTTCTTAAGTAATAACGAGTTATAATTCATCAGTCTCAGGGCTTTAACAAAAGGCAGTATCTGAGACGGCTCCACAGAGGCCAGCTCTCCATCCTCGATATCAGCCGTACCAAAGTTGTTGCACGAACGGTCGTCGTCTCGGCGCGCTCAGTGATAAGGTGTTCTGGCACTACTTGTTTATATACAAACTATAAGTCTGTTCGTTTTTCCTGTTATTATCGATTCTGAATCGTCCTAGAACTCTCCAGCGCATGCGCAAATGAAATAATGTCTTCATATTTCCTTCTGCGCATACGCATCACAATCCTAGGACGGTTCAGAATCGTTAATAACAGAAAAAGAAAAAGCTTATATTTTATTATAGGTCTGTTCGTTTTCCTGTTATTA